TTCAGTTGCACTAGTGGATTGAATAACCTTTTTTTTGAGTGAGTGAGTGCCAACAAAGTGCATGTGTTGTTGGTTAATAAAAACACGAATTTCGATAGGCTGGAAGACTGATTTATACTATAAGTAGGACAAACGCCTTAAATTAAAATTATCCAAGGAATCTCTTTCTTGGGATTTGTATTTGAGAGAGAGAGCTATCTTAGGTCAGTTTCTTTAGTAAACTTATTTGGTTGAACTTTTATAGGTAAGAAAGTAGTCCCGTATGAAATTCATAAACCATTCATATCTTGCACTTGAGGAGGTCAATCTTAAGTGTTGGAAGCTACTGCTAAGGTACTCCCCCTCATCTATAAAGGATAGGCAATTGAGAGAGAATAGGGCGATAGCCCGGTTTTGCTTGGAAGAAGCACCTTTCCTGTGCTTGTCTTGTATTGAGGTATACCGAAGATATGAGTCAAAATAGGTAACAGAAGGGGAGGGATTGTTTTCTTAGTGAAGGCGAGCAGCTTTCATTTTTTTTAGAATGAATGGTAGGGCGAGTAGGCGGTTCGTATTCTTCCTCATCCTCAGAATAAGAAGTAGGAGGATACGCAGAGCAAGAGCTCTTGAAGTCTACCCCCTGGGCGCGCCTCTTAATTCATCCATTTAGGCCCTACTAGGAACACGTAGATCCAGGGAACCTGGCTCGGGAAGAGCTTCTTACTAGTAGGGGCTAATCACAGTAAGAGAGCCCAATCTCTGAAATAGAGCTTAGTCTCTCCATAGTAGTATACTAGTAGAAGGCGTAGGTTATGACTTGATCCAATAGAGTCAGAACACCTTTCTATCTAAAAGAAATGGTGCTCGATGAAACGATCCAGATTCCACACTATGCTGTGGGCTGGGGAGAGAGCTGCTCCGCGAAGCTGGGCGTTCAGTCTTCTTATGGTACTATACTAGAAAGAAAATAGAAGAAAAGGCCTTCAAAAAAGAGCGAGAGAGTGATGGGCAACCTTACCTTAGTCTATATGTTGCTCGTGAGCCGTCAAGTACCAGTCTCGCAACAGTACTGGCGCAAAAGGATCGGTACTTCACTTGCTGATCGTTCGCGAGTTGAACTCGCTCTCTTGCCACGCCTTTCACTCACTCGCTTGAGTCGGACTCAATCACTCTTTTTGGAGGATCATTCGTTCTTCACTCTCTTGCTATTACCCGCAGGGAGCGCAGCAAGGTAGGTGCATATTATCATATAGAAAGAAGCGAAGCGTAGCGATTCGTACTACCAAGTTTCGCTAACCGGCAGGCAATAGAGCCCGCCGATAGGCGCAAGCAAGCGTAGCGAATCACATAGATAAGCCCCTACCTGCCAGCTCGCGGATAGATAGGGCGAGCGAAGCGCGAAGGGGATGGATGTCTGAGCGGTTGAAAGAGTCGGTCTTGAAAACCGAAGTATTGATAGGGATACCGGGGGTTCGAATCCCTCTCCATCCGCGAAGTCATCAGTTCTCTCTTGCGTTATCTATAGTCTTATGACGAGAGACACAACAAGTAGGTGCGAAGCCACTTTGCTCTAGGAGAGCGAGGGGCCGTCATATCTTTATGAACATCCATATACATAGCCAGACACAAAGGTGTACAATCCGATCCAAATCTGCGGTTCTTTAAGTTCATTCACTGTAGGTTCTCTTACTTGCTCTAGTGGCTGGCAAAGGCCAACCGAGAGGGGAGAACGAATGGCTCAGAAATCGACTGTTTCCGAGCGGACTTGTGGAGCTGCTGCTTGGATTATCTTAGAATAAGAGGAGCCGTCTTAGGAAATGACTGAACTTAAAAGACAGATACCGCCGCTGCGAGGCGAAGGAGTAACTTGTCTGGTCTTGCGGTGCACTCACTCCCGTTACGAGAATGAAATGACGCCCCAGCTCGACTCGAGACCAAGACTCCTTACAACTCGCACCAATAGCGGCACTGAACGGCCGGAGATTGATTGAAAAGGCAGCCCCGCCAGCCCGCCCCTTTAGTGATTGTGATCAAGAGCACACGCTGGACCTGACCCACTAATCATCATCTCATCTGACGCGAAGCAAAAAAAGAAGGCTGGAACCTTCCCAGCCCAGCCGCCCCCCTAGCCGCCTACCTACTCGTGCTCGTAGCTCGATCGGGGGTCAAGAGTGTGGTCCGGCGGAAAAACAGAAGTCGTCTGTATCAAGTGATACGTGAATTGCTCAGTAGTGCTTCGCCACTACCGTAGCTGGCGGAAATAGCTTAATGGTAGAGCATAGCCTTGCCAAGGCTGAGGTTGAGGGTTCAAGTCCCTCCTTCCGCTCTTGGCTTCGTCGTTTAGTGATAACGAGTGGAGTAGGCAGCGAGTAGAGTGCATAAGCCCCTTTAGAGATAGAGTCGAGCAGCAAGCAGCCCCTAGGGGGCCTTGCGCCTTTCTTACTAATAATAAGAAAGGTTGGAACCTACTCCTAACAAGTTGCTGGCTTTTCAGCCGTTGCGCGCTAGCGTTTTCCCTTACTAGTAAAGGGGCTGCTAGTTGTAGCGCGCAGTGTACTAGTGAATAGGAAAAGCTGATTGAGATTACTAATGACGGATGGAGGTTGAGGCAATGAAATCGGGGCCTCGCCCTTGTCTTCTTCGCCGGAGACTGCAAATGATGGGAATTCTATCGATAAAGAAGAGGCATAGGCATCGCCTCTCGATCCAATCCGTCTCCCCTGGCCTCCCCAACACACTCTTGATACGAAAAAAACCTCCCACCATAGAGAAGAGATCTAAAGTCTGGGTCCCGCTGATCACCCTTTCCTTTGAACCTGAACTGGTCGAGAGAGATGAACCCGCACCACATTTTCTAACCTTCGAACCGAAACCCCAACTAGAGATGGAATTCAAGAACCTAAACAACTCAGTTGAGAGCTACGTGACCGTTCAAGGGAGGGTCCACCAATGATTTTTAGGCCCTTCCCCCCTATCCGTCTCTTGATCCCTCATTCCACTAATCCGTTGTTACTGATTCATTCAAGGCATAGACTCCCAACTTCTTTGTCTTATTAGCGCAGGTGTTCGTCAACGATGAAAGCCGCTGAACTTAAGATTCGAGTTGAGAAAGAGTGCCCAGGAGAGGAGGGCTTCGGGGACTGGGGAAGACGAGTGGATTATAGAGTGAGGGGCGGATCGAAGGTTTGTCCATTGGGATTGGGCATGGACGAGCCTGGGCCAGCATTGATGAAAAAAGAAAAACTTCTCCCATCGCGTCATTAACCGGTGTAGGATTAAAGATCAGGTCCAGGATTCGAGTCAAATCGACCTTCCCTCTCATCCCAGGGTTTGGCAAGGAATTCAAAAAAATGTTCGTTGTTCAATATCTTATCTCGGCTGCTCAAGAAGGACTAGCTGCTCCTCCGACCCGGAGTGGATTCTAGGGGAAGGGCAGATCCTCTGCAGTAGGAAGGTGTTCGTTGCTGGGACGGGTTCAAACTGGACTGAAGGGAGGAGGAATTCAAGACTCCGATCTTACTGGGGATTCATCACTGGCTAGGGCTCTCGAATCAAAGCATGGGCATCTGCAACTAAGAGAAGAGGGAACAGTAGATCGTCGATTGACGAGCCGGGTCAGTAAACTTATATTGATTATTGATTCGACTAGACCTATCAGCAAACTTGTATGAAGGGCTCCCATGGAGACGCAGGAGATACAGGAGCCACCAGCCGGATCGACCAATAAATGATAGGCCAGAGGGATGGGCTCATTCGACTAATCAGAGATCCCTGGCCCTACCTAACACAGAGATGTCCCTGAAATAGGGGATTAGTTGATCGGAAAGCTCAGGCAGGAGTAGGACACATTGCTTTCATAAAAAACCTTTTGGTAGAAGGAGTTGTCTTTTCCAATCCAAATGAGAACCTTTGACGGTTGGGGATTAGAAACAGTAACCTCGACGCACACCCTAGCATAATGGGGTTCGAGAGATCCAGAGTACGATCATCAACGCGAAGAAGGGTACCAAACGAAGCTACAATCTCCTTCACGGAAGAAGGATTAAAAAATAGCAAAGGAAGATAGGTTATGAAATAAAACGGCGGCAAATTCGGATTCAGCCCTAGGGTTAAAGGATAGAGTCCATCGAAACAAAGGGAACAAGGAACTGTGTATTAAATGGGATTCCCTGGACCAAGGAGTAAGAAAATCCTCTCGCGAAGGAAGGCGAATCATTACATGTCTGGGATCGAGCAAGCCTACAACTGCATCTTGTTTCAAGCTATTAATATGCTCACGGATGGTTCGGGCCCGGTGGTGTGGTACGTAGAAGTCGTTTCCAGTGAAGGGGTGGGAAGAAAGAGTCTGAGGTCGGGTTGGTTTTTCCCACCACCACTAGAGATTGGACATATAGCAGCTAAGAGGGTGAGTAAGAAAGTCAAGACCGAGGACTTGCTTTTCCCAACATCTGTCTCGCTTCCAAACCAAAGGAATTAAACGCCTTCCTGTGGAGGGAGGAAAGAGGGCAAGAACGGATAGAAAGGAAGCCGAAGGAATGAACTTCTTGTAGAAAGTCAAAGCAGAAAGCGAGAAAGCAGATTAGAACGTGGAGAAGACTAGTCCGAAGGCATCAACTTCAGGAGCTAAGAACTTCCTGGGAAGGGAGTTCAAGCGGCTGGACGGGAAAGTCTTAAAGGAAGGGAGCCCCTGACTTCCTTAATCAAAAAAGAACTCTACTGTCTCAGAGCGAGAGTCAAACTCGTATCGCGGAACTAGAACATTTCTCGCAGCCCTTAACTCAGGTCTTTAACATGAAAAGAGGGCATTCTGAGGATGTCTTCCAATTGGCTAAGAAAGTCATGAATGCTTACCTTCGAGACAGGAGCACAGAAGATCAATGAAAGACTAGAGCGCGAGCTAGTTGATCAAAAGTAAGAAATGCTCGAAGCAGCCCTGATCGTAGACTGATCTTTAATTCGCTTTCGAAAGTCTCTTTATTAGTAGATGCCTTTGTTTTGTCAACCCATAGACAGGGGATATGCCAACTAGAGCAAGAAGTCCGGATAATTAAGTCTCAAAAAGTGGATTTTGGCTTTTTTGAATATAGAGATTTCGCCCACAAGAGACCAGTACCAGCTCCTAAGCCTAAGCTCTTTATCTTTAGCCTGCAAGCGCTTCCAAAGTTGTTAGCGTGCGTGGGGTTACCTAAGGTCAGAAGTGGATTCCCTTTCTGGGGTACTTGACTAGGCTATGATTCCCGGGGAGAGAGAGAACTCTTATAATAAGATGGGCCTTGAGCCTGCTTCATCGCCTTGACTTGATT